CACCCTCCCTCCACCTAACCACCTCCCTCCCCACCTCCACCCCCTCCTGATATTCTTAGGCTATAATTAGGTATGAAAGCTATAAATTAGTTTCATAATAGGGTTGTGTACATTGGATACTTTTTCTTCCATTCTTGTGATACTTTGCTAAGAAGAACATTTTCCAGCTCCATCCTTGTAAACATGATGGAGGTAAAGTCTCCATCTTTCTTTAAGGTTGCATAGTATTCCATGATGTACATATACCTCAGTTTATTGATCCATGACTTTTTTTTGGGAGGTAGGTTTTTGCTGGACTTGAGTTTCACCTTAAGTTCCTTATACTATAAAATGATAAAAGGAATAATTTCTATTTCTTGCATTTTGTTGTGGTTTGGTTATTTGTGGCCTAGGATATGTTTGATTTGCGGATTCTGATTCATGAGCTGGTGAAATGAATATATACTCAATAGTTTGTGGGTGGTATGTTCTGTAACTATGTATTAAGCCCAACTGTTCTAGGGTTGTTTTTAATTCCCATGTTTCTTTGTTTAGTTTTTGCTTGGAGAATCTGTCAAGTTCTGTCAGGGGGCTGTTGAAGTCCCCACTTATGATGGTGCTGGAAGATATCACATTGTTCAGATCAGTGAGTATTTTTTTTTTTAATCTAGAACCATTTAAATTGGGTGCAGTGTTGTTTAGGATTGAGATGTCTTCTTGATGCATTGTTCCCTTGACCAGTGCATAGTGTCCATCTTTGTCTTTCTTTATTTTGTTGGTTTAAGTCCAATTTCATCTGTAAATAAGAATGCAACCCTGGGCTTTCTTCTGAGTTCCATTTCCTTTCACCCTGATTTATGTTTTGTCCTTGGAGTTTAGATGCATTTCCTAGAGATATTGTTGGCTTCTGCTTTTTTATCAAGCCAGCCAGCCTGTGCCTTTTCAGTGGGGAATTCAAGCCATTCACATTTATTGAGAGAAGTGATAAGTATGGTGGAGTTCTCTTCATCTTGTTTTGGTGGGGGGGGGAGCTCATTCTTAGTTTTATCTAATGTTGTTTCATTTTGGACACTAGGATTTGTCTTTTAATTTTTGTGTGTCTTTACTTTGCTGGTAACCTATTTTGCTGGTCACTGTGAAGAACAGGTCTGGGTACTGCTTGCAGAGCTGGGCTCGTAGTGATGAATTTCCTCATTGATTCCATGTCCGTAGAATATTAGATTTCTGCATTGAATATGGAACTTAGTTTAGCAAGATACAGAATCTTAGGCTGAAAATTGTTTTGTTTAGAAGATTAAAGACAGATGACCACCCTCTTCTGTCTTACAGAGTTTCAGCTGAAAAGTCTGCTGTCGGGGTGGAGCCAAGATGGCGGACTGCAGCCAGCTTTTCACAGAAGCTCTCGTCCAGAAGGAGGCTTAAAGGACAGAAGTTTAGCAAGTTAGCTGATGGTTTGGAGCAGAGCCAAGAGAGAAGATTGAAGAGCACACTTCAACCTTCCTGAGGTGAGCTGTGACCTCAAAAATACAACCAAAAGGTACAAAATCCACCACCAAGTGGAGGAGAGTCCCCTCCCCCACAACAAGGGCTTGCAGTTTACTCCATGCAAACAAGTGAGCAGAGTTCAAACTTCTTCCCAATCTATCCCACCGGAGATACCCCCTAAAAACTGGACCTTCTACCCCCGCTGGTGTGCCATGGCACCCTCTGGCCAGGCATAAAACTGTAAAACTGTATAAAACTGTATATATTCCCCACCTGCAAAATTGAATTCCAAGGAGTCCCCACCCACTCACTCCGAGGTCTGGAGGTTTGTTGCCTATGGAATCCAGATTCTTGGGCATCTCCTTGGGAGAGATGGAGGGGGAAAGGGCTGGTGCTGTTCTGTGCTGACTGTGGTACAGGTGTGAGGAGAGGAAGGTTGGCTCT